CTAAAATTTAACATAAACTAAATTAAGGTCTCACACATCATCTAAAAAAGAAATAAAAGACTTAAAAGTCTAAATGCATGTTAGTTGATACAATCATAATTCACAACAAGGTTCCAAAAATAAAATAAATGAAGCATATCAACATAATCCTTACAAAATTAGATGAGGGATAAAAACTTTCAAATCAAATTGAAATCTCAAAAGCAAGCATCAAATTGAAATATCGAACATCCATGTCTAAAAAGAAGGTTTATGCCAAAATAATAATTACTTGAGAGTAAGGGAGTCAAAAAGCCAACGTAATAAAACATCGAGAGGGAGACATAGAATTAAGAGACGTTGAATCAAGAAATGAAAAGAGGGTGTGAGTTGAGAGATGAAGAGAGCTAGGGAGTGAGCAAAGCAACAAGAAGAAGAAGTAAGATGGTTAAAGGAAAGGAGATGGCAAGAAAGAGAGGTTGAGTTAAGAGATGAAGAGAGATAAAGAACTTAGAATGATCAAATACTTAAAATGTTTTTTTATTTGCCAAACAGTGCATTTTAAGGTAAAAGAGAAAAAATATAACAATATTTAAAGGGTTAGTCGGGCACGAGTTTTTTTTTTCAGGGCTTATCAAGGTCAAATCCAAAAGCTCGACTACTCTAAAAAAACTTGAACCTTTATTTAAACATGACTTTCAGGTCCAACATTTGCTCCTAACTCTAGCCCCAATCACAACTGTTGTTTAAAGAGTAATAACTATTACTCAAACAATTGTAAGAATTAAATAAAAAATCACAACTTGTCAATAATTATAAAATGATATTTTCAATTTAAAATTTATTTAAAATTATAATATTTTGATAAATCGGATATAATTTGGGAGATTTTATTATCATTTTCACTATAATGTATGATATCAATACTCCATTTATTTTTGTATATAAAAAATTATACCACACAATTTAAAAAAAATATTACCTACAATAATTATATTTGAAAATAAAAAAATTAAACTAAAATATCTTATTTTAATAAATATAAGCATGCATTAATTATTTTTTATTAATGTAAATTATAAGGAATAATTTAAAAAATATATAATAAATATTTATTAAAATATATGATTTTGTTAATAAAAAATGATAGTTTCACTAACAAATAAAAGAAGGAGGGAATGTATCAATACTTGTCATATAAATTACTTTACTGAAATCTAAAGAAAAGGTACGTAAGCCCTTGATATTGCACTGGAAAATTTAATTTGTTTTTATTAAAGGTATTATTTTTTTAAAAACACACTTTCTTTTTTGGCTAATAAAAAACACACTTTCTCGTGGAAAACCTTTTACCATAAAGAAAATTGCAAATAGGTGGAATTAAAAGAAAATAATTTGTGGTTCAACTTTTTATACAAAGTTACTTATAAAATAGGCCATCGAATTTTTTCAGAATGTAACTTATATATAGCATAGCATAAAACAAACTCATATTTAGAGGGGGGGTTTTTGGCTAATAAAATTGTTTATATTTCATAAAAGAATTAAGTAACAGGAAATGAAGGTTTTTTAGCCAATAAATTAAATGACAATTTATCTATATTTAATTATTTAGAAATATGTTGAAGAAAGAAAATAAATTATTGATAAAATGAAGGCACTTTTACTAATATGAAATGACTTAGGAATTATTTATTGTTGTTGTTGTTGTTGTTGTTATACAAAACTGGAGTTCTAACCATTATTAATATCTATACAAAATATAAAATTCATTACATTATCAACCATCCATAATAATCTAACTTATATCAAACTCCAGGCAATATTTCTTATTATCTTAATATCTTCTGCATATTTCATTAGATATTTCATGTAAGTTCATTTTTATTTAATTAATACCCTCACCTTATTTCATTATATAATTATAATATAACGAAAAAGAGTTAATCAAATTATAATCATACCCGTTATTTATGTTCTTTCTTAATCTGAAATCTGAATTGCGATTTTGGAAGTTAGCGTCAAATATAAATCACATCAATACAAATTTTCAGAAAAATTATAACATGCAGGGTTCAAAACCATAACGATAAAAAATTACACACACACACACGCGTTATCAAAACAAATTATATATCTTCATAAGCACGAGATTAACATCAGTTCGACTTATTAAATGATTGACCAACACACACCAACTATTAAATCAACATATATCATTCATTGGGTTCATTCATATATGACCGTATAGAAGAATCCACAAACCAGTTTTATTTTTCAAGAAGCAGAAGCAATCACTCACCAAAAATAGAGATGTCAACATGTAACACGTTATTTGATGTGCATATTAATGAAGAAAAATTGACGCTAATAACTTGTAAAACTGTGTTTCATAGTATGCATCACTCATCAACCTAACTGCTAGCTGTCTTAAGAATTATAGATGGTGGGGGCAACCAAACTCTCAACCTACACAGTCATGTTCTGCTCACCAAAAAACTTCCCAAGAACACTCTTTCTTTCTTTGGTTTCTTGAGGCACTTCAACTTGAAAAACTCTTTCCTACGTCCTACGGACCAATAGAAAATAACAAGCAGAGCGCCAAGTCAATTCTCTGGCCAACACTTTCTACTTCGCCCATTCATTCAGAAAACTAGACTGGCTTCGTTCTCTTAAATTACTTGCACACAGTTTGGTGTGTTGGCTCATCTCCTTCTCTTCCTGTTCCTCTTCTTGCACCTTATTCACAAACCTAAGATACGACACTTCGTTCTTCTTTCACTTTGCATGCATACAAGCACACAATGGGATCACCATTCAAGCCAGTTTCATGTCCCAGAAAAACCCCATTTAGAATAGAAACCAAGAACTTGTCATGCAGATTGCGCAGCCAACTTGATGAATTTAGAAGCCTGTGTTTTGGTTCGAGTCCAGGGAGACGTGCTAAGCTGATCTTGAAAGATGTGAATTGTGAGGCAAAACCTGGAGAACTAACGGTCATTGCTGGTCCTAGTGGAGCTGGAAAGACCACACTGCTAGAGATTCTTGCAGGGAGAATATCCCCGTGCGAGGTTTCAGGGCAAGTGCTTGTCAATCATAGGCCTATGGACTTGGAGCAATTTAGAAGAACATCTGGGTATGTCACACAAGAAGATACTCTGTTCCCTTCGCTTACAGTTAGAGAAACACTCATGTATAGTGCCCTTCTGAGGCTTCCTGGAGGTAGAAAAGTGGCTGGTGCAAGAGTTGCAGAGTTGATAAAGGAGCTTGGGTTAGATCACATCGCTGATTCAAGAATTGGTACTGGTTGCGGTGGATCGTCAAACCAAGGCATATCGGGTGGGGAAAGGCGAAGAGTTTCCATCGGAGTTGATTTGATTCATGACCCTGCAGTTATTTTGATTGATGAGCCTACTTCAGGTTTGGATTCAGCATCTGCGCTGAACATAGTATCGGTGCTTAAATTAATGGCATTTAACCAAGGTAAGACCATCGTTTTAACCATTCACCAACCTGGGTTTCGGATTTTACAGCTAGTTGATCATCTTGTTTTGCTTTCGGATGGATTCGTCATGCATAATGGGTCATTGAACCTACTTGAGGCTAGGCTCAAGTTGGCTGGGCATCATATTCCCCACCATGTCAATGTCCTTGAATTTGCCCTCGATGTCATGGGAAGCTTGGTAATACAAACTTCAGAATCCATGAACAATCAGTTTCTTCTCAGAGACAGAGAGGAGCAAGTTTGTAAATTGAGGATGCCGTGCTCAATGAATGTCAAAGAAAAGGCTCTTCAGTACCCAAATTCTCCAGCGGAGGAGATTCTAATCCTAGGACAAAGGTTTTGCCGCAACATATTCAGAACCAAGCAACTGTTTATCACCAGAGTCATACAAGCCTTGGTAGCTGGATTTATACTAGGGACTATATTTTTTAATGTTGGCAACAGAAAAGGCCAAGTTGCCTTACAGACACGAAGTGGATTTTTCGCTTTCAGCCTTACTTTTTTGTTATCTTCAACAACAGAAGGCCTGCCTATTTTCTTGCAAGAGAAAAGGACTTTGATGGAAGAGACCTCAAGAGGAGCTTATAGAGTTTCTTCCTATGTTCTAGCAAACACCCTAATGTTTCTTCCTTTCCTTTTAATGGTTGGTCTTCTATATTCTACTCCAGTTTATTGGCTGGTAGGTTTAAGGAAGGAAACTGATGGGTTCCTATACTTTTCTCTAGTGGTTTGGTTGGTGGTCCTCATGTCAAATTCTCTTGTAGCTTGTTTCAGTGCTCTGGTGCCAAATTTCATCCTGGGAACGTCAGTGATTGCAGGGCTAATGGGTTCTTTCTTTCTATTTTCAGGATATTTCATATCAAAGGGAAACATACCCAGATACTGGATTTTTATGCACTATATAAGCCTATTCAAGTACCCATTTGAGTGTTTTATGATAAATGAATATGGAGGAAAACAAGGGAAAATCAGATGCCTTGAGAATAAGAATGGAGAATGCATTTTATATGGAGATGAGTTCTTAAGACAGCAAGGTCTGAAAGAGTCCCAAAAATGGAGTAATTTGGCCGTGATGTCGGGTTTCATAATTGGGTATAGAGTGCTCTGTTTTTTTATTTTGTGGTATAGATGCCACAGGACCAGAAGATAATCGATCAGCTTCATACAGCAATAGGTACTTTTCACAGATTACTATTATTATTATTATTATTATTATTATTATTATTTTGCTTACCATCAAGAATGAATACTTATGAAAAGGTTAGAACAATTCATGTTTGTACATTACATGCAAATAATCAGGGTAAACTTGTAATAAAAAATGGTTTGATTCACTGGCCATGTGTATTTACTACAGCGTCTGCGCTAAATTTAGCCCTTAATAAACATTAATTGTCTACCCCAAGAAGCAAGATGATAGGAAAAAGAGCAAGTATATAGGCCTTTTTCTCTCAGAGAACAGTAATGATTTCACTTCACTTTCAATTAATGGAAAATAACAAATGCAATGCGCAGATGATGTAAACAAACATGAATAGAACAAATCAGTTACATTAAAATCAGATATCGACCATTAATGCAGCCATATTAATGGAGCAGTTCTCAGGAGGACAACATCATGTAGAGCTAAGGCATATGCTAGACCTTTAAATAGCCAAAAATAAGCAATCTACTGGTGTAACAAACTTCAAATACTATCCTAGGTTTCAGAAAGTGTTAATTGAATCATCAAATGCTATAAATTTATTTACATGAGGGGAAAAACACAAAAAATTACAATGCAGTATGTAACATAACAAAGAAGAGAAGACAAATTTTTAGGACGAGAGGGAAGAGCAGAACTCAAGGGTAAACGCAGATACTCAACTCAATAGGTTCGGTCATAAATTGAGGTGAAGGTCATGGTAGCAAAAGAGGTCGTGGTTCCCATCAAAGAGGAATCGTCTTGCTTCCCATAGACACCAAGGGAAGATGTATTTTCTTCAGCCTCGACCTTTTGCATCCTTTCATCTTTGGCTTCTACAAACTCAAACAGCAATCCTGGCTTTGTAATTTTCTTTTCATCAACATCAATTTCGCCCAACAACATGCCAAGCACAGAAGACATAGATGGTCGGAGCTGAGGAGAATCCTGAGTGCAGAGAAGACCGATCTTACAAAACTGGCATGCCTCCTCAACATTGAAGCCATCTTCTAGCAATGCATCCACCAGTTTCTCCAGCTCCCCATTTTCATACACAGTCCATGCCTACAAGTCATACAATTGTATCATCCTCTCAACCATCGCCACAACTGTAATAACATTAGAATGACTTCTATGCTTTGGACCCTTAAAATCACGTGCAACTCAATCCAAGCATTAAGGAAACCCCTAAGCAATTTGCAGGAAACCCTTGGAACCATTTATATTATGTTTGGATTGAGGAAGATGGAGAAGAAGGAAAGATTCAAAACAAACTTTTCCTTCTATTCTCCTCCTCCCAAGCATTCCCTTAGAGATTCCAGCCTTAGGCTTTTCAGGGACATCAATTGTAAAAGAAAAGTTGTCCCAAATTAATTATAATTTATAACCCACTCCAAGAACTTATTCTCTGTGAAGGACTTGACAAAAAAGAAAATAAATGATGACATTGCATTTACATCCCTAATGACTACTTTAAAGTCCTTCAGAAAGCATGATAATAAATGTTGCGACAAATGGATGCGTTATCTAAATTATAGTTAAAAGATTGAAAATGCAGCAAAAGAGTCATACTAATGTGTTATCTAAATTATAGTTAAAAGATTGAAAATGCAACAAAAGAGACATAATCATGAGTTATTTGAACACATAAAAGTTGTTTCCAGGATTGCCAAGCAAATCTACGCCAGACCTCAAGGAATCTATCATGAAACCCTTGAGTTCCAACTTTTTATAGGTGGGCCTTTCACGCTACCTAAAGAACTAGGAATAATTTCTCTCTCAATATAGATCAATTTCATGATGTATTTTCAGTTTGACTTGAAAGAACCACAACTATGTTTAGCAGCTCTTTCTTTTTTTGTACTTGCCAAAAGAAAGGTCCATACCTTTGGAAGAAGATAATGTTCTTCAGCAGGTAACCGTCTGTTTGTGTTACACCTCCCACTAACAATTTCCAACAGTAGAACTCCAAAACTGTAGACATCTGATCTTCTTGTTACTTGATTTCGTATGGCATACTCAGGTGCTAGATACCCACTTTAAAAACAACACAGCTTAGTACAGAGTCATAGTAGAAAGCAAATGGCCAAAATTGCCAACAATATTTGAAAGAATCAAAACCAAGATACAAGGCAAAGAAGCAATTAATGTTCCTGCCAAAATAATGGCATAAATAAGTTGCATGTTCTTCAAAAATCAAAGAAAAATATAGGAACTTACGCTGTTCCAGCAACACGTGTACTAATATGGGTCAGGTTTGGAGAAAGAAGCTTTGCAAGACCAAAATCAGAAATTTTGGGCTGCAAGTCTTTATCAAGTAGTATATTGCTTGCTTTAATGTCTCTATGAATAATATGTGGTTCTACCTCCTCGTGAAGGAATGCTAGGCCCCGTGCAACACCAACGCAAATGTTCCTCCGCACAGGCCAACTGAATTGAATGCTACTATGGCCTCCACCTATAAAATCACAAGACTGAATCATCATTATGCCAACAATTTATACTCGCATATCCAATGCAAAATATATATTTACCAAGAAGTGTTTGAGCTAGGCTGTTGTTTTCAAGATAGCCATACACCAAAATCCTGTGTTCTCCTTCTGCACAGCATCCAAACAACTTAACTAGGTTTTCATGCTCTATGCTCGTGATCACTTTGATTTCTGTCAGGAATTCCCGAACCCCTTGATTCGAGTCAGCTGACAACACCTTTATAGCAGCAAGAGTCCCATTTCTCAGCTTTCCCTGATCAACAAACAGAGTTATCATTGGTCACTGAACAAAGAAACACATAAATAGCACTAGTGCAAATGTCCAGAAAATGAAGCAGCAGCCTGAGAATTCTTCGTGAACCGTCAAATGAAACCATACTATTGCAGTCACCTTATAGACAGATCCGAAACCACCTTGCCCTATCTTGTTTGCTGGGCTAAAACCTTCTGTAGCAATTCGAAGTTCCTTGTAGGTGTAAAGGTTCACATTCTGAATGTCTGAAACCTCGTTGCCAACATAGACATGATAGCTTAATTTAGACACAGAACGTTTGGAATATAGCTAAATTTATTAATATCAGATAATAAAAACGTAGTATAAAGATATTGAAAGCGAAAATAATAAGAACAGATTAATATTAAGTAGTTGCGTACCAAAATCTATTTCGGTAGGTTGCGTGGCTGAGACAGATCCTTTTTTTCTGATAAGCCAAGAGAAACAACTCATCACAAAGTAACTCAGGGGCTACAATGGACCAAACCCAGCGCTGCAACGTAAGTAATCAAACATCAATATGCAATCCTCCGATAACTGAGATCATGTGTAGAAAAGAAAAAATTCATGGTAAAAGGCAAAAGCCTTGAATGACTAATTTTGAAATTTCTAAAATTGAACAGTAGATTTGCTGACGGACGGGACGATGCATCTTTTCAAAAGAGAAGTCATAGCTTATTACTTGAGCAGAATTTTCTGTCAAATCAGAACACAGAAGTCACAGCATGCATTTCCGGAAACGGAAGAAGTTAATAATGGGAGGGATAAGGAAGGAAGGAAGGAAGTAGCGAAGACACGGATGGTCCGTCATGAGCAGGCATGAAAGATGAACTTACTCTGTGGAAAGCAAGTAGCAGAGGAGAGAGGTGAAGAGAAGGGGAATCGTAATTTGGAATGTTGACTTGAAAAAGCAGCCAAGCAGGTCTTTCACGGATAGTCGCTCTTCGATGAGAGAATTGGAGGCAGAGAAAGAGAAACAAGAAAATGGCAAAATCAAAACTTGCACGAGATAAAATGCAAAGCAATTGAAGGCCCCGACTCTTCTTCGTCTTCTAATTTGATGATTATTCAACAGATGGGGTCCAAAACAAAAGATGCAGATGAAATCCACAGGCAACTCCTGGGCACATACATTTTAATCTATGCATGAATATTGACTTAGAGGAATCTAAATGGTTTAATAATTTTTAGTTTTTTTTATTAATTATTATTACAGTTTATATGAGATATTATATTATTTCAGGCACGGTCATGCACCATCTAGTAATATATTTAACCCAGTTATAAAAAGCTTTTAAATGATGCAATTAATTTTGATATTAATACACTATTTAATATTTATGTACAATAAAACAAAAAATTTAGTAAATTATACCATCTAAATCTATAAGTTATAGATAATATGTTTTTTGACGACTCGCACTAATTTATGCATTTGAATTAATTATAGTTTGGCGGTGAATTAGATTTGAAACTATGAACTGACAGACAATTAAAAAATGCAAGTACTTTGTCTGAGAGATTCTCTATTAAATTATCGAGAAATATTAAAGTAAATTGAGTGTATTAAATTATTTATAATCTGTTTAATTAAAATACTTTAAATAATATAAATAAAATTTTTTGTAATATTTTTTAATTAATTTTATTTTTATAACAGAATACACATTTAATTTTTTATCTTTTCTTTTTATATAATTATTAATATTAGAATTAATTTATAATAAATACTATTTAAATTTTATGTTTTTATCAGATATATTACAAATGATAAGGTGCATTCAATCTATCTAAGTAATTTTATTAAATTATCTTATTATGTTACCCGTTAAAATAGCTAGTTTTTATTACGAGAAGAGAATACAGTCATACACCCATGGATCGTGATCCATTCCTTCCGTTTTTTTTTTTTTTTGGCCCCAGAGAGAAACTAAATTTTTATTTGAGAAATATTTTTTTATTTTAAGAAAAAAATTATAACTATAAAGGCTTAGGTCTCATATGATAAAAACTCATTAGTATTTTTAACTGTTGGTCTAATTTTTCACCAAATTTATGTTGAAATTTTTTACAACTAGTTTCTTATTTTAATGGTAATAAATGGTAATAATTACACTTTGAAAGACTAAAAATATCTTACATTTTTAAATATTTAACTCTTCAAAAAATGTCCTATATTTTTTAATAGAATGAGTATATCATTGTAGAAAATTGTTTATTCGGTTATCATTCTCATTTCTCTCTCTATTTTTTTTTATTATTATTGTAGATGACTTCTTATAATTTAATCCCTTTATAATAAAATAATTTTAAATTTTAAGTTCAATTACTTTAGCTCAACGGCCTTCGCATATCGTGTGCCGTCGCAATATTGACCGGATCATCTAATTCATACTTTCTCCAATCAAACACAGATAGCCCATATAATTAATCAGATTCAATTGATTAAAATAATAAAACACACAAATTGTCTATAAATAATAATATACAGCAAACTGGGGAAAAAAAAGGCATGTTGAAGTGAAAGTAGAGTATCTGCTAGCGGCCAAGAGGATGGGCAAATGCACCCATCACTTTGAAGAAAATTACAAGGTAGATAAATTTTGTAACTTTGCACTTTTTATTTTTAATATTTTACATATTTTGAATTAAAAAAATCCAAATTCAAAATAAGATATGAATAGAATATTCATATAAAAGATCATATTAACATGTATAATATAATTTTTTAAAAAGAAAAACAATAATCAATCCGTTACTGCAATTTTAGCCCTAATACAATTATTATTTTAAAAAAGTATTAATTTTTAAATTAAATTATTTTGCACTCCTCACTTCGCGCCTGATTCCACTATTGATATCAGTTAGTGATAGTTTTTCTTTTTCGGCCAAAAATCAGTGATAGTTGGAAATCAATGAAATGTTGCTTTAATTAACATACGACGATGATCTGGATACAGAGATGTTTTACTTAAAAAATTGTTTTCGAGTTTTGACATTCTTTCCTTCAGAGTTCAGATATAATTTGCTGAGGTTATGCCAGCATTGTTTGAAGTCGTCATCCGGCATTATTATATATGCTCAGCTTATGCAACCATGGATTGTAGTCGTCGTCCGGCAGTTCAATCCTATCCAACATCTACTACCATTTTTAACCCCTTTTACTTGGTAAATGGAAAATGTGGCTGCTCTATTATTAATTTATTATACTAGTTCATCTTGACAAAGGAGCCTTTACATATAAAGTAAAAACCAATCCATCTATCAGATTACTTATTGAGAGAGATACAATATATATATATATATATACTGGAAAATACCTCCACCCCTTTTGGTCAAGCAAAATAGACGAGTTAGGTTTCTCAGTCGATAAGACAAATAATGAAATGTCGACAATAATTAATATATCTTATACAATTGGTGACGAAAACTACTTCACCAACGAAGAATCAATGCTCCATTAACCATTTTTCCCTTATAATAAAAAGGCCGCAAACTTGAAATTTTCCGTCGTATTAACAACTAGTCCTAACTTCTCATCATCATAGCTTAACATACTCGTGTTTCAAAGACCTTGTTCCCATTCCAACATGAACTTTTCCCATGTTGACGTGTACGTCAAGAAATCAAATGCTCTTTCCTAACTCATTTGTATACATCATCAATGGTTCAATATTCGTATGTAAAACAGATCACGCTTCCCAATTTGTATTCACAAACGAATATAAGAAATAAGAACAAGTTTGAAACATCCGGGACACGACATTCAAAGAGAGAAGTAATCAACCTTTTTTATTTAGTCTACAAAAGAAATTAGTTGGAGACAGAAGCCCAACGGATACGGAGAGGAAAAGTTCTAGTGAATTCAAATTCAACAAGAGAACTTCCAGACGACTCTCCCTCCAGCAGAGCATGTGAGAAGCGACTAGCAAGCTACATTCAAATAGCCACACTATATTCGTTTACCACTCGATATTTCAAACATAGACATCTCTATACGTTAGCTTAAAGAGCCACTCATGCTTAAATACACTATGCGCGAGTAAAAACCATAGCTTTTGCAAGTTCTAGTCCTAACTTCCGCCCAAACAGCTTTTCCACTATAGTTAATGCAAACTCCATGGAGGTCCCTGGTCCTCTGCTGGTAATAAGATTGCCATCAACTACAACCCTATTTTCAACTTCGCTCTGATCTGATAACTTATTGCACATAGCAGGAAACGCAGTGGCCTTCTTACCCTGTAACACGGAAATATATATCAGTTTTACACTAATACAGTGAAGAAGCACATTTTGCACATCGAGTAGGATTATTTTAACAATAAAAACAAATCTACAGCTACATATCAAAATTATAGATAATGTAAAATTTATATAAAACCATATTATTCTTGAGTCATGAACAGCGTCACTCATCTTCAGACTTTGTGCCCATAATCTAGTTCAGTGAAATTTTATGCACTTGCCATCTGGCACATACCAACTGGATGTTTTTAACAGCACGTTAAGTACTCTCATCTAACAAAAAAGAAGAAGAAAAACAAGAGGGGGCAAAAAACCCAAAAAACTTGCACAGTTTTGTTTGGAAAACCCACAGCTTAAATCATGCTGTGCAGTCATTTCGGTAAAATTCCAATGAAGAGTTACCCATACAGCGATGATACATGCCATTTCATCAATATTTCACTAAGAGCTGTCCCTAGAATGATGATTGATCGACCGAAAAAAAAAGAAAGAAAGAAACCTTTAGCAAGCCGTGGGGCTCCAAGACTAACGCGGGGGATGCACAAATTGCTCCATAATATCTGTTTGATTCTCTCTGCTTTTTCAGCAAACTGACCAGAGCTTCTGACTTCGCAAAAGCTTGGGCACCACCAAGTCCACCCTACAGAAAGTGGATTATATATTTATACTTACACCTTAAACTAATGCTAGCTGCTGGCTACCACGAGGAAAACAAGATGCTAACTTACTGGCAGCACAATTAGGTCATATGTAAGTTTAGCTGCCTCATCAAGGAGCATGTCCGCCTCCAGTTTAACTTTCCTAGAAGCTACGATCTCTACTTTGTCCTCAAGAGAAGCAACTACAACATTTGCTTTTGCTCTTCGCAGAACATCAATGATAATAACAGCTTCCATTTCCTCAGTGCCATTAGCAATTGGTACAAGAATCTGACAAGGTAATGCAAATACAATAGCCAACCAAAGTCATTTTAGTGAAAAGAATTACTTCCATTACTATGAAGTTAAGAAACTCAGACTAAACTAGTCATCCCTTCTTCTCCATATCAACATCAGTCCACACAGCTAATCTCAATAGTTGATACCAACAAAAAAAAAATGATGGTGATGAGAATCTCAAGGTCCAAAGTTGAAACCAAACCTTGGGGGGATTATCAGATGTCCATTGGACTGGGTTTAGCTCAGTGAAAGTATATTCTTCTCCATGATTGGATCGCATGACCTGAATAAAAACATAAAACATACAAATATCTAAATAATGCTAGCATTTGTATGTCAAAAAGCAGCTGCTAAAAACTCGATCTCATATATAAGCAGTACAGTAAGTCGATAGTCAGCTGTACAAAGAATAATTAAAATATCCTGCAATTTTTCATTAGGATTTTGGAAGAAAGAATACCAACTGCTAACTCGTTTCGGGGAAAGACAAGTTTTAACCATCTAAAGGAAATAAGAAACCCCCAACACCTTTTCTTGTTCTTCCAAGATCCATGACTAAATTTCATGTTCAAGTCAGGGTTAGGTTTCTCGCTGAATGACAAAGACTATATAGAAGCTGACTAGCAATTATCAAGCGGACACGATGCGTTAAACCATAGAGAATAGTCAAAATTCAAATTAGGAAAAATATTATGCACAACATCATGGGAATGAACAATGAAGAGCACCAAACACCTTTTTTCAATCCAATAGTAATTATGTATGCCAGTAAAGGCCTCTTACCGTTACCTCCCACAATGTTATTTGATATTGTAACTTCTTCCAGTTTCTTGACCTCTATCTTTTACCACATCAAAATGAAATAGAAGACCTCCTTTAATTTTCAACGCCCAGATTTAAAATATTGACGTTTTCTAGCCACCTCCATTCACTCAATATTGAGTTTAAAATTATTTAAACAGCAAAAACATAGGAAACCAGTTTCCAGATGCAGAAGGATTGAGAATATTAAATTTCAAACAACATTGTTTGTGAATGATAACACTTTTTAGCCTTTTCCCTCTCAAAAAACTACTAGAATTATCACGAAGTAAGTCTTAACCAGTGGACCAGCAACTTCGTTGGCCTTCTCCTTTCCATATAACTGCTCAACCAGCGCAATACCGAAGTCCATGGTAGTGCCTGGTGCACGGCTAGTCACAACTTTTTCATCCAGCTGCACTATTGATTCAACAGCCGTCGCATGAGAGGCCAATTTGTCCATAAATGATGGGTGACCAGTTGCCTGACAGATCACATTACACCCATTACCACAAATTCATTCTTCATTTGATTTGTTAGACCCTATAAGAGCAACATGACTAATTGAGGGTTCTAGAAAGGGTAATGTCAACGGATAAGTTAACTTACCTTCAGCCCCTTGAGCAAACCCCACGATCCAAGTACCACGGCCGGAGCAGCGCATACTGCAGCGTAAAGCCGTCCATCTGCAACGTGCTTTTTCACTAAGCTTTCCAAAGTTTCACAGTCTCTGAGATTATCTACACCTGGAACACCCCCCTGTCGAAGAAGAAAAACTTCAGACAACTCAAAATTAAGAGACTGAACATTACGTAGAAGAGTATGCTGCTCATTTTCTTCATTAAAATTCAAATGCAACAATACCAATAATAAGATGAAGATTTATTTCATGTTATACATTTTGTCGGCTGGATCAACTGAGTCGAAGACAATCAAAATCACTTCTACGGCACAGCAAACAGGGATTACGGACGAAATCGATGATCAAACATAATTAAGACTCGGAAAGAGGAATGTACAGGTAAAGCAACAAGGTCGAAAGCACTATCGGCCACATCAGAAGCAGAAGCATCGGCAATAATCTTGACGCCGTGTAGAGCTTCGACCCGAAGCTGCTTCCCAGTAGAAGCAACGGTAACATCAGCTCCCGATCGTCGCAGAACATCGATCGTAATCACAGCCTCCATAGGCTCCGTACCATTCGCAATCGGAACCAGAACCTAACAATCCCAAGGGAAAAAAAGAGAACAACCACAGCATCAGTCCGCGATCCCATTACGATCAATATCTCGGACGAAAAAGAAGATGGAGATGCGTGGTTTACCTTCCGAGCAGAGGAAGCCATAGCTGTTGCAGAACCAGAGACGGAGAGGATGCGCTTCTTGAGCTGGGTGGGTTTGGGAGTGAAGTTGGAGAGGGAAGGAGGGAGTTTTAGAAGCAAGTGACGCAGAGCCATTTATGCTTCTGGGCGGTTCTGTGTGACAGTGCGAGAATGCGCATAATTAGGATTTGCGTCTGTGTGTTGCCAAAATGACAACACGTATCTCTTTGATGCGGATTTGCCGCTCTGATTTTGCCACGTAATAATATGTCATGATCCTGCCCTGCATGCACAGCTCCTGATCGATGGAATATTTTTTTGGGGATAATACGTGAGAATAACAATAAAATTTCAAAATTTAGAATTTATAACATTTAACATTTTAATAATTTTTTTTTCAAAAAACGAACAAATATTGATTCAAAGTTAAAATAATTATAAATAAAAATTTTAATTACAAATTAAAAGTTATATTTAAAATTAAAATATTTTATTTATAATTAAAATTTTTAAATTTATAATTATATGAATTATTGTTTTTAATTTATTTGTCAGGAAATTTTATCCCGATTTAATTATCCTAAATTCATTATTTTTTATATTTCAATGTAATTTTCTATTATCTGTTTATTTCTTCTCCCAAAAGGAATGTACTTTTTTCAGCACGCCTTGTTGTACGGAGTTTAATCATGGACCCGGTTTGAAGCTTGTTAATAGTACAGTAATTTATTATAGTTGTAATTGTAAGTATATATATAATATGTAAGGGAAAAATCACATTTAAATTTTAAAAGAAAAAATTAACAATAGGTAGGTTTTTAATATTTTTAAAATAAATTGTCAACTATCAATTCAAATGTTATGAATTTAAAAATTTTAATTATATATATGTTATTTAAATTTTAAATATAGTAGTTAGTTTGTGATTTGAATTTCTTTTTATAATTATTTTAATTAATATTTATAATTTATTTTACATAAAATTTTATCAAGAAATTAACCATCATTAATTCGTTCTTTTAAAATTTTATTGCCATTCTCCCATATATAAATGCAAATTTGAAACACAATTTATAGATCTTAATTTTAAGATTGTGTGTTATCTGTGTGATATGGTTCAATTCTCTTGCCAATAAAAACTTAATTCTATGATACTGCAAAGGGCATATCCGATTCAGCTTGTTAGAATTTTAAAAAGTAACCTACAATGCAAAGTTTTGCCCTTCTTTACTGATAATCTAGATCGAGTACGAAGCCATTAGAATCCATTCCAATTCTCAATTATCCATTTGCAACTCACAAGATCACATAACTCCGCTTTGAAAGCATATTAGTGTTATTTTGAGTTTAAATTGAATATTATATTCGTTAAACAAATTATTCAGCCTATAAAAGCACTTTTATCTCAACTAAACACATTCTTTACATGCAATTTTTTCATGACTTGCAAGTAATATAATTTATTATGATTTTTAGTATACATTATATTAAAAATGTGCTTTTTAAAGGGGGAGGGGGGAAGGATAAACTTAACGCCGATTAATTTCTCACCGTCGAAACTAGTCCGGAGAAGACAGAAAGATAATCAATTACTGATAAACTAGATTACGTGCGTGATGCAAAGAAACAATAATCATTGATCGATACTTGTAGTTTCTCTTAGTATATATGCACTCTATAATGTCATCGTGCTTAATTTTTATCACATTGTTAAATCGCAAAATCAAACAAAATGTGGTTATTTAAGGGAAAGCAACACCTTATTTCTGTGCCCAGAAAACAAAAGGAGAAGAATCATATGAACACGTCGAGATCATATTACTAATTTTGCTAATTAGTCATCGAATTGGTTCTTACAGGGTCCTAACAGTTTTTTTTTTTTGGGGGGGGGGGGGGGGACTGAAACTCTAAAAGGTGTCACGTGATTTTTAAACATGGACAAACACAGACAATTATATATTTTGTCTTCTAGCTATGCGGTTTAGATGTCGCTGCTTGATTTGGTCAGCACAAAATGCTTATCATGCCTAATTTTCCCATATTCCCTCCGTTTTTATTTTAAAAAAACAAGTTATACAATTTAAAAAAATAATTAATTATATTAATTGTGTCTGAAAATAAAATAATTGTTTTATTTTTTATTAATTATATTAATCAAACTTTCATTAATTATTTTTTTATAGTTACGAATGATAAAACTATAAGAGATAATTTAAAAAGTTTGCAATAAATATGAATTGAAAAATGTGATTTTGTTTATATAAAAATATAAATTAAGAATAATAATTTTTTTATATAAATAAGAATGGAGGTAGTATATAGTGAAAGTTTTCAAAACTTTAAAAATATGAAAAAAATAATGTTGAGCCCTTTTAGTTCCACCCATTCTTAAAGGAGGTCCCTGTGATCTAACACTTTTTAAATTCATCCCCATGCACTGTTTCACCCAACCATAAAAGAGGTCTCTATAGCTTGGAAGTTTTTAAATTCATCCCCGTACTTCGCAAGGGCTGAATGATCCTCCAGATTTCAAAATAATTGGGAATGGATTTCTACTTTCTTGCTAAAACTAGTCAAAGTTGATTTTAATTACATGGCAAAAAAATTTTATGAACTGACATGCACACAAAATAGCGAGGTGGATTGCTAATGGGATATAATAATGTAAGCCAATGCATTCTATTTTCAATTGTTAAAAACTCAAATGCTAAAAAAAAAAAAAAAAACTCTAACAATTATCCCATTAAATGTTTTGTTTTGATAGATAAGCTCCAAGTGTCTGATGATTTTCCCTCGTACATCCAAGCCTTTTAATTCGAATCCTGACAATGCATTGATAAACTTAACTTCGAGAAATAAAAAATAGAATCAAGTAAAATTAAAACCTCATTAAGATGCGTGAAGTTTCAGAACTTGAATAGTCATTAGGGTCTTTCACCATCACATTAAGACCATTTTTCCTAAATTAAGTTGCCTGATTCATCCTCATGATGTTATAATTGAGAACAATATATTAAAAGAAAGGATGAATAACATGTATGTCATTTAGGGTTTATCAATTTGAGGTATTTGAAACTATTTATTAAGCTGAGCAAGTTGGATTTGCCCTCCTATAATATTCTAGTGCTCGATTGAACAGTGATTTGAAAGAATTATTAGTTATATGATTTTGTTATGCTTAACTGGAGTATGATTTCCCCATACTAGTCATGTTTTGAGCTAATAGACAAAAACAATCAAATTTGAATAAGATATATGCAGTGATGAATTTAAGGGGGGCCAGTAGGGGCTGTGCATTCCAATTTATGAAAAAAATAAATGGAATTTTATTTATGAAAAAGTTAAAAATTCTTGTTAACTTCCCATATTTAAATGAAATTTTAATTATAGACCCTTATATGATGAATTCTGGATTCGTCCCTGAATATGTGATACATACAATTTATGAATCTTTATTTTAAGCTTCGTTCAATATCTTCATCCTTCAATGACTATTTTTTTTATTTAACCTTTTCCCCCGCATTCTTTGGCTCCGAGCCTTTAACAAACCGTTTCGGTTGGATTTAGCCAGTCATGTATTTTTGTTACCATCTATTGTTTAGCCCCTGCTTATGTCAACTTGTCCTGGTTATCACGATGAGGCATTTTTTGAACACGTTCGCAACTTTTGAATGGCATTCACAATATGAACACAGTATGACGAGTTAAGAAACAATTTCATACTTTAAGAATTCAAGTGTATTTTTTGCAAATTTTGGGGATTGATTTTAAAAAAATGTGAGTTACGTTGTGTAGACCAATTTCAAAATTGAATGAAATTATTGGCTGCAACATTAATTTTCCCGAAAACATGTTATTTTTAGTTAAAAAAGTTATTTTATCTTGAATTATAATTTATTTTTTATATGATAAGACATCCTAGACTAATTAACACTATCATTTACTTCCTCCGTTAAAAAATATAAGGTATTTTTAATTGAATCTTACTTCTCAATAAAGTAGTTATCTATTTTTCAACTAATTTTAATTTTTTATATTTACTTATATTAAACACCTTATAATAAATATTAAGTTGTTATTAATAGGGGCTTTTAAAAAAAAAAGCAATCACTACATTTTGAAAGACTAAAAATATTTTACATTTTTTAACATTTAACTTATTAAAAAATGTCTAATATTTTTAAATAAAAATAGTAGTAATTTTAATTTTTTATTGTGAATTTATCAAAATTTATGTGTCAGGTCCCGACAACAACTTCTTCAAACCAATACTCCTGGTTTGATAACAGACAGAAGGACTCATCTCCAGCAGTGTGGTGCATGACTTTCTCTTAATTGAAATGAGATGTTTACAATGACTTCACGATTAAAAAAAAAAAGTTAAATGCAATTTAATATTTAAAAAAATTATGTTTTTAATTATGCTTTGATAAAATATTCTATACAATATTTTAATAATGACAATTAAAATTTTAATATATTATTCTTAAAAAATTATAAAAAAAACATGTAATGTTTTATACAAGATTTTTTTTCTGGGCATACACTGTATTGTGATGGAGGGAGTAACCGGGAGCATCCCTAAAACAAGTGAGTCCATAAAAAAAACATTCCAGGTTGTATCTCCTCGTTTCAAAACATTAGTTTTATTTAAACTAGTATGTGTCTCATGCACAGTGTGAAATGATAAGTAACAATTTAAATAAATAATGAGATATAAATTATATTATTGTAAAAAATTACTTTTAAATTAAAGTAATTGTTTTTTATCAGTAATAATGAGTTAGATATAATAATTATTTAAAAATCTCCATGGAACTTCCCATTGAATGAATTTAAAAACTAAATCAATTTTTATAAAACGTGTTTAAATTATAACTAGTACATACACGTTGCACAATTAAATTAGAATTAAGAATTAAGGTTAATTTCATAAATTAGATCTAGGATGGAAAAGATTTTGTATCTCAATTTTCTCCAGTAAAGCACGATTTCATTTTAAAATATCATTAAACTATTTTTCATAACAGGAAACATATCATTTATCATTTTTATTCTTGTCATAAACTATTTATCTTACGCCATGATCTCTTAGTTTTTAGAATAAAAAATGAGAATAATATGATGGGAAGCTACACTAATTGCAAGGTAGGTGAGATAATGGGAGAGAAA